TCAGGAGTCAATACACAGGTCATAACAATCAGCAGGGGGTTAGATAAGAGGGGGCGATTAATATACAGATAAGATTTATAGCATAAGTGTAGATGATAATGTGTGAACAATTAAGTAATGAAGAGTGATTTACAGATAAGATATTTTAAATCGTTACAGTTTACATATTCTTGATCATATCATTGTTAAGAGTATATATTCTTGATCATGGCATCTGTATTGGATTCCCCTCTCTGACATCTTTTCTTGTTCACCAATTAGTTCAACAGTCATCTAGGTACTCAGGTGTTGTACAAGTCCTAATAATAATCATTTTAAAAATTATAAAGAAAAACAATACAATTTTTAAAGAGGTTTTCATTACTTCTATTGAAATTAAAGCACAAGCTTTAGAAGACATACTTAAGTCACTTAAACATGTATAACTAAACATAATGGAAATTTAGACATTGCGACTCAATGTCAAACATATAATAGTGATACATCTGTAATATCCATGAAACTTACTGAGATACTTAAAATGTTTGTGGCGTGCTTTCACTAAGCTATGCAATAAATAAACATTTCTTGATTACATGTTGAAGTCCAAGGCTTAAAAAAAAATAAGTTAGTTTCCTGTAACATTCCCAAAATATCAAGGGTCGGTAGGTCGGATTTTTTTTTTTTTTTTTTTTTTTGCTTACGGATGGTGAAACATCCCCAGACTGAAAATACCAGGTGTTATATTTACAGTGGACACCCAAAATGGCTGCCAAGCGGCTAAAAACAAACTTCAGAAAGTTGTAGGGGGAAACTGTTGTTACAATAATGATTACTCTTTATATTCAAGGTAAATGTAAACTAAGTTGACATATTTTATGTCTCAAATTAAACTACAAGCTATTGTTTTAATTTAATAAATGGAATCAGCTGATTGATCAAACAAAGTTTTGCCATTTGTCAGGGAAAAAAAATCCACCAAGGGATAATTTGAATGGGTCGGTCGGGTTACAGGAAACAAACATAATTTTTTTAGGCCCAATCCTCACCTGACTTGCACATTCATATGGATTGGTTCTATGCTGATAATCCCTTTCAACAATCTTCATCACAACATCTGAAAGTCACCCATCTTCAAAATTAAATCTGCCGCTCACCTCATATGTATAAAGACTCCCTGTACAAATGCATGGAAAATAAAATTTTGAATAAAAAATGAATTATCTCCTCACCATACCCAGCCTCTTTAAAAAATGTGAGAAAATAATTTAAATACTTTTCTTTAGATAAAATCATGTAGTGAGTATCCAGCAATGGTGAAAAAAGTTATCTCTAGAATTTTACATTTATATTGAATGATATAAAAATGCATTGTTCCCTTTACTTAAAAAAACTCAAAAGACATTACCTAAAATGGAAACAAGGTACAACTGTGACTGGTGTCTCAGACACAACCAATAAACACAAGACCTTTCCATCCTTAGCAGCATGCATTAGCTCCACATTCCTTTTTTCTACAAAAAATATACAATGAAAATTAAAAAAAAAAAAAAAATGAGAGCGAAGAGTATTACATGTACTTGGGGGAACAGAGGAAGGAATTTTGAAGTCAGATTAATTATATTTCTGCCAGTGTTGGGATGGATAAATTTCCATAATAAAATGAAACAAATTATTCGCAACAAATAAGACTCATGTATTACCTTGCAGTCACCATTGCACATAATCATTATGTATAAACATTTCTTGATTACACGTTGAAGTCCAATCCTCACCTGACTTGCACATTCATATGGATTGGTTCTATGTTGATAATCCCTTTCAACAATCTTCATCACAACATCAGAAAGTCACCCATCTTCAAAATTAAATCTGCCGCTCACCTCATATGTATATAGAATCCCTGTACAAATGCATGGAAAATAAAATTTTGAATAAAAAATGAATTATCTCTTCACCATACCCAGCCTCTTTAAAAAATGTGAGAAAATAATTTAAATACTTTTCTTTAGATAAAATCATGTAGTGAGTATCCAGCAATGTTAAAAAAAAATATCTCTAGAATTTTACATTTATATTGAATGAAAATTGCATTGTTCCCTCTACTTAAAAAAACTCAAAAGACATTACCTAAAATGGAAACAAGGTACACCTGTGACTGGTGTCTCAGGCACAACCAATAAACACAAGACCTTTCCATCCTTAGCAGCATGCATTAGCCCCACATTCCTTTTTTTCTACAAAAAATATACAATGAAAATTAAAAAAAAAATGTGAGCGAAGAGTGTTACATGTACTTGGGGGAACAGAGGAAGGAATTTTGAAGTCAGATTAACTATATTTCTGCCAGTGTTGGGACGGATAAATTTCCATAATAAAATGAAACGAATTATTCGCGACAAATAAGACACATGTATTACCTTGCAGTCACCGTCGCACATAATGTATACATACAACTCATACATGCCAACTTTCCCGATTTAGGCGGGATCCTCCCGATTTTACCTTTTCATCCCGCTTTCCCGATCGTGAAAGAAAAATTGCCCCAATTTCCCGATTTGAAAAAATCACCAAAATTTCCGATTATAAAAGATTCCCTACCGCTGAATTTTGACAATGGGGATAACAATGTCAAACTTGTTTATTCAATGCACTCAGATAAGTTTCATTGTTTATTTAACAATGTTAATTAGCCACAGGAAATCACTTCACGCTTGAACGCGCGCAGTTGTCCAGGTACAAGTAGCTTCTAGCTTGGGGCAATTAGGGGATTATCTTGTCAGTTTTAAGGGGTATGCAAGGTGAAACACATAGATTAATGTGTTAATTGTTAGTCATTTTATTAAAAACATAAATTAAAGACAATGAAATACTAATCAGTCTATAAAATCGGAATCCAAAGAGATCGTTTTTTGAAAACGAAAGTAGAAAACTACAAAGCATAGCTGCTGATTTTATCTACCTATAATGAAAAATATTGTAAAGTTTGCCAGTTAAAATATTATGAAATTAAGATGAAACAATCAAGTGTATGTCAGTTAGAATTTCTTTTCCCTTCCTTCTCCCAAAAGTAATATTTTATAGGTATGTGCATGACTTAAGGAAATACCCACATGGCACCATTCAAGCCTGAAAAATTTCATGACTGTAAAAAAAAAAATAATAATTCTCCTTCGGATAGGTGGTATAAATTTCAGTAAATTTAATACCTTATTAGAATCTCTAATTAATTGAAATATAATTAAAAAATCTCAAAAATGTTTCCAGAAACAGGACTTTACAGTATCAAAACCTCATATATTTTTTAGCCTTTGAAAAAAATGATTTAAAAGTTGTACAATTTTCAATTTTTCACTAAATTACATGATGTTTGTGTCCTGGTAGAAAAAAAACATGTTTTTAATGAGAGAAGCACTTATTTTAGCAAAAATATTTCAATTTTGGAAAAAAAACATTTTTAAAAATTTTTTTAACTAATTTTTTGTGTTAAATTAATCCTTAAGTTGTATTAATAAGTGATATCAAATATTATAAATTTAAAAAAAGATCATTTCATTATCATTTAATTTTACGACAAAATGTCGCGAATTTAGAGCTTTGAAAATTGTCGTCACGCGCTAAATCCCCCATGGGAATTTTCAAAAGTTGGCATGTATGACAACTGACAACATCCCAAATCCCTTTCTTTGTTGTTTACTTGGCGGAATTTTCTTTGCCTTCTAGACTGGTTCCCTGTTCTGGTTCCCATACGTTGCCGTGAATAAGTCCTACGTTTATTGGTTTTGTTTACAAGCTTCAATATCTATAAAATCTCCCGCACATTTACAGTCTGTATTGTAAACTACTAAAACATACTTTACACACAATTTTCAGTTCAGTATTATGTTATCCTCTTCATTCAAATAATATGTAAACTCTTCTCGAATGTAAAACGAACGATCTACTCTGATAAGTAACCCAACTATGGCACTGTGAATTCGGCTGAATAGCCAATCATTTCAAATCAAGTGGAGCGGGTCTGCATCGCTATTTTGACGAAGTTTGCAACCTGTGGTAATTTTTTGAAACCTCATCTAGATTTAAGGAGATTCTTGTCTTGACAACTGCTCGAACTCCCGGATTGGCATGCACTGCAGGTTTGTTTACGATTTCCAACCGTTTTCACTTTCAGCATAGATCAGTACATTGTGCATAAATGTAGTGAAACAAAACTTCGCTGTATATGTTATTTACTGCCAGAATGTTAGATTAGTATTTTGATAATTTGGGGATTAAATGTTTATGGGTTTCAGTTTATTCTGTAAAGGTGTATGTCTCTGGAATATTAAACAAGACAAAGAAAAACAATTCTGGAGTGGGACTAAAATGAGTAGTTAAAACCGAGCCGGGCCGGGAATTTGAAACTGAAACCGGGTTTTTGCTAATTACTGAGAATATACACAATCAGTTGTCATAAAACTTAGTTACAGATGTATTTATGCCTTGGTTGAGAGTTTCAACTCCGAAATTGACAAATAAGTTTATTTTATTTATAACATTTTGTATTTTAATTGTGTCCATTTTGTTAAAATACAGGTTGAGTGAAATCAGTATGCAGATTGTTGAAGGGAAAACATTGAGACGGGGCGAGGACGATGACAAAACATGATTGAGGATCCCAAAGTTCTTTGGTACAAGCACATTTTTAAAAAATCAAATAATAAGTATCGTAAAATGTTACTTGAACAAACATTTACATTATTTAGTGCTTGACTTGTTCAGGAGTCATTATTGTCAAATGTATTCATATTTAAATGTTCAATTTCTTTTGTATAGGCTCAAGCTACTCAGCCTACCATGAGAAAATTAAAAGATCTGCCATGAAGAAGAGGCGGGTTCTCAAGTTTCATATTATCATACCTGTCAACATTCCAAATTTTTCTTGGGGGAGAAAACGCGCGACGACCTTTTTGGATAGTAAAAAAGTCATCGCGCGTTCTTTTTATTTATACTGATAGCTAAGAAATAACAAATGATGGACTTTAATGTTCTTTATTGTAATTGTAAGCAGCTGATTTTGTAAGTTTCAGAGTGTCCTTAGATGGTGTCACTTGATGACATTCCTCTCTACAGTTTATTTTAGCACAAAGAAGACTGCATAAGGTCTGATTGTCCATGGAAGATCTTTGTTCTGTCTGAATTTTTCTCACAAGGGAGAACACCCTCTCACAATCTGCATTGCTGTTTGGAATGCAGCACATGGCCTGAGAAATTTTACTCAGAATTGGAAATCTTGGTGTTCCAGAGATTTTGTTGGTCATTTGCCCCATCTCTCCCCAAAATGAGTCTATTCTAGTCTGCCCTTTCTCAAAGTTTGGAAGGTCACAGTCAGGAGAAACAGTGAAGTCCAGAAACTCCTCTTCCAACTTTGGGAAGTCCTTTTCCTGAACTATGGCAGGGAATCTTCTTGCAATTTCCACAACAGACTGCAAGGTGGTCTCTTCCCTTCTGAGAGGATTCAGGAATCCTAAATCGCTGACGACTGGGTCATTGAATGGAAAGTGCTTTAGCATTTTCTTTGTGATGGCACAGTAGAACCCCCTTACATTCCTAGAATTAGACAAAAACAAACAGGTATAATATCAATATGAGTTTTTCTATATTAATACAACATTCCTTAAAGTTACATGATGAACACTGCATACCACAAATGTTTGAAGGAAGTTTTTTAGTAACTTAATTATTCACTTTCTTCACTTAAACTGAGCTGAGAACTGTCAGCTTAAAAAAATTAAAAGGTCAGAATCTAAACTTACTGGAAAAATTTTGCCAAGTCTACTGGTGGAATGTCCTCTTCATTCTCTGCAATGTAGGACCTGGTAAGAATTCCAACTGCAAGAATGTTATCTTGGAGCTGGTTTTCTGGATTTTGGAAGTCCACACTGATGAGGTCCTTGGAATTCTTGATCACTCCTGCCTTTATAAAACGGCCAAGGAATTTTCTTAGGAGTTTGTGGATTTCTTCTCCAAGATACCCAATCCTTGATTCATCAGCCTACAAAGGTAGAAGAAGAAATTAGTACTTGAATAAGAATACAGTTCTTAATTTTGTGATTTATAAAATAAAAATTATTAATAAATTAAGATTATAGTTTATATACCTGAAATGTAGTGTTGAATTCATTCAATGGCTCCAACACATAGCCTAAGAAGTGGAATGTCATCCTCATCTCATGGCTACTGAGGAGCTCTGCCACTCTCTTAACTCGTCCAGGCTTCTCTACATCACTGTGCGAGTTGAAGTAGCTTGTCACAGCAGGCCAGTGGTGCAGCAACCTTTTGACACACTTCTCCAGACTTAACCACCTAGTTGAGCAGTGCTTCAGAAGTTTTGAAGGGTCAACATCACAGAAGTCCAAGTATTCTTTGTATGTCTCCTTACGTAATGCCATACTTGCCATCTATAATAATTATAGATGGCAAGTATTGTTTAGATTTAATTTTAAAGTATTCTTGATAAAGAAAGGGTGTTTGGCAGTTCATAGCTATTAACTGTGATTGCATTGTGTATGAGTTTTCAAAATCAATTCATTCTTTGGTGACCGTGTGCTTCAAACTCATAATTTTTGATAAAAATATTGACTATATATTTGTCCAGGTGTATAAAATGTTAATCACTGTATGAATTCTATTTCAGCATGATTGTCATCTTCAATTTGAGGGACTCTCACCTCAAGTCCTTTTACTGTTCCATATCAGGAAAAAGTTCATGAGCAGAATAACGCTATTTGGGAAAAAGGTACATATATCCTAAACCATAACTTGAGTATGATTCTGTACACATGTACAGCTAAGCTAAATATGTAGCACTATTTTGTTCTTTTTGTAAACTGACTACTGAGTAGTCAGGAAAACCTATCATTTCTTTATGTATCAGGGATTTATTCTTTGATTGTGATAAGTACCCTTAAAAAGTACATAATTCTCTAATTGTAATTTTAGGGATTAGGCTTTTTGTGATAAGGGATACATGACCTAACCCATTGATTCTTCATATAATATGTCAATAATAAGAGGTCCACTCATCTTATTAAATTAATACAATTTTTAGCTCACCTGAGCCAAAGGCTCAAGTGAGCTTTTCTGATCACATTTTGTCCGTCGTCCGTCCGTCTGTAAACTTTTCACATTTTCGACTTTTTCTCAAGAACCAATGGGCCAATTTTAACCAAACTTGGTACAAAGCATCCTTGGGTGAGGGGGAGTTTAAATTGTAAAAATGAAGGGCCAAGTCCCCTTACAAGGGGAGATAATCGAGAAAAGACAAAAATAGGGTGGGGTCATTAAAAAAATCTTCTTCTCAAGAATCACTGGGCCAGGAAAGCTGAAACTTATGTGGAAGCATCCTGGGGTAGTGTAAATATTAAATTGTTAAAAACATGACCCCCGGGGGTAGGGCGGGGCCACAATAGGGTATCCAAATTTTACATAGTAATATATATAACAAATATTTAAAAATCTTCTCAAGAACCACTGGGCTAGGAAAGCTGAAACTTATGTGGAAGCATCCTTGGGTAGTGTAGATATTAAATTGTTAAAATCATGACCCCCGGGGGTAGGGCGGGGCCACAATAGGGAATCCAAGTTTTACATAGAAATATATGAATAAATATTTAAATATCTTCTTCTCAAGAACCACTGGGCCAGGAAAGCTGAAACTTGTGTTGAAGCATCCTCGGGTAGTTTAGATTCTAAAGTATTAAAATCATAAAAAGGAAGAGGGTAGTGGGGTACGATAGGTATAGTTAGAGGGGAAATCTGGTAAAGAACTGCATCACCCAAGTTACTCAGGTGAGCGATATGGCCCATGGGCCTCTTGTTATTTTTAAGGTTTAAGGTCATGTATGAACTTTTTATTTATTAATTAGGTTGTGCATTATTTTTAGTTTTATTAATCATGGTATTGTGAATTCTGATAACAGATGCCTTTGAAAATATTCATACTTATGCAAAGCACTGAAAATATACTTATAGATTTTTTTTTTCTTTTAGGAAAAGCATTAGAAGAATGCCTGCATGGGAAGAAAAGTTTTGGACTCTGAAAAAAGAGATGTGACAAATACATTTTGACAGTTATTGATTTCCACTGAAACCAATATCCACTAGAAAGAGGAACATAGTAGTTTTATGTTGATTCACAACTTTAAATTCAAGAATGTACAGTTGGTTTTATTATAAAACATGTCACATACGAAAAACATTTTTCGTGAAATGTACTCTGTCTTCGATACTTATTTATGTGTATGTGATTTGCAGGATAGGATGTGGGCAACATATACTGTCAAGAATCTTGATGTTTTTGATCTTATGTTTGTAAAAAAATAGTAATAAACAAAGTTAAAGTCAACTTTTTGTTACTTTGTATATATTAATAATGATGTCCAGACTTCCGCAGTATCGACTTGGAAGAAAAATCTTATTTATAAATTGCATAAGGCTTTATTCACTAGAATGGAAAACAGAAATTATTAACTTTTGTGGTAATTAAAGATGGTATTTAATTAAATTTAAGGTCTGTAATTATCAGATTTAATATATCCTAAATATGGTGTTTAATGGTTGTAAATATTAACTTTACTTTTTTGTAAAGTCAAGACAATGTGGGACATTACATCATATTTAAGTGCATGTAAAGTTAATGTAAAGGTTACCTTTTCCAACTTTGACTTTTTTCAGAAAAGCCAATTAAAGGCATTGTAAATAATAAATTTACCTTATCTTTACTTGTTTTGTAAAGCCGAATTTTCATGCAGTGCAATAATACCTGGAAGAACAAATTTGATGTTAGAAAACTGATAGATACATATATTTTGTAACTCTGATATTTTAGTAAATATGTATAGGATCTCTTTTTCTCTCTCTCTTAATCTGTAAAAAAAATCAAAATCATCATCATTGTGGCTAGCAAAACATGCATACTATCACTGAAAGATAAAACGAATCAAAATTTCACCATTAAGTTCACAATTTATGAATTGCACTAATCATTTTTTAAATTAAGAAAAATATAAATGTGTTTGTATAAACATCCATTTGATAATCAAGTTATGATAACATTATTTTCATCAGAATAATCAACATTTACTTTACCATGTGTAGAAATACTTCCTACTGAAAACAATCTCACCAAATGGCATCAAAACAAATGTGGTTGGATAAACATCCTTAAAATCATTTTATGATATAATTTATCAAAAAGTTCAAATTCCAATCAAATTTTACTTTATTTTCATCAGAATTATCAACCTTTACTTTTACTACTTATGTAGAAATACTTTCTACACAAACAAATCTCGCCAAATGGCATCACCACAAATGTGGTTGGATACAAATCCATACATTCATTTTATGATATAATTTATCAAAAAGTTCAAATTCCAATCAAATTTTACTTTATTTTCATCAGAATTATCAACCTTTACTTTAATACTTATGTAGAAATACTTTCTACACAAACAAATCTCGCCAAATGGCATCACCACAAATGTGGTTGGATACAAATCCATACATTCATATTAGGATATAATTTAACAAAAAGTTCAAATTTCAATCAAATTTTACTTTATTTTCATCAGATTAATCAACTTTTTCTTTACTTTATATGTAGAAATACTTTCTACTTTAACCAACTCGCCAAATGGCATCACCACAATACAGTTCAAAAAACATCCATAAATTCATACTATGTGATAAATTTATCAAAATACTTCAAGTTCCAATCAAATTTTTCGTTGCTTTCATGAAAATTATAAACTTTTACTTTAATATATGTCAAGAAACAATTCCTACAGAAACCAATCTTACTAAATGGCTTCATCACAAATGTGGTTGGACAAACATCCATCAATTCAAACTCGTATGATAAAGAACCCACTTTCTACTTAGCCAACTCGCCAAATGGCAACACCACAAATGTAGTTGGATAAACATCTATAACATCATTTTATGATAAAATGTGCAAAGCATTCGAATCCAATCAATTTCTATTCCATATTATCAGCAATATAATGAAAACAATCTTTAATAAATTGCCAAATGACAATACCATAAAAGTGGTTGGAAAATATTCATAAAAACATGATATGCTAATATGTGCCAAAGTTATTCAAATTCAAAACCAATTCAATATTATTTCAAACAGAAATAATGATTTTCATTTGACTATTTCTGTACTTCTCATTGTCTACTGAAATTAATCCCGCCAGAAACCAAACACCACAGGTGCGTTATGATAAACATCCATAAAATATTCTATGTTAAGCTGGGTTAGAGCTGGAATTCCGCTCAAATTCAATTTTTGTTATAAATTCAAAAATAACAGCTTTTAAATAGCTACAGTATTATAAAAATCACTTTCCACTGAAAACTAATTTCAATAAAAGTAAATACTCCAAAAATTGTTGCCAATTAATAAACATTCATTAAATCATTTCATTATAAAATGAAATATATCAACGTTATCAAAATTTAAATCTTCCAAACACTACCAAAAACGAAAATTGTGCAAAACAGCTCATGAAATTAATATTCAGAAAAAGTTGAATTCAATTTGTGAATCATTTTTAAAATTAAAATTCATTGACAAAATTTCCTTTTTACTCGAAAATCAAAACCGAAAAAAATTCAGTTTCTGTTATCAAAACTTTTTAGTATTGAAACTAAATACTTAAATCTCTTTTTCTAGATAACTCAATCAAGCCAATTAACAACACCACAAATATTGCAGAATTATCATTCATTTAAATATTTTATACCATCTTTATCTTATTTACTTTTTTTTTTTAAATTAATACTCAATTGATAAATTTCAATTCTAAGTAGATCATTCCATTGAGACCTTAGTTTAACTACAATGAAAATCAAAATGCAAATATTCTAAACCTTTAATTCTCTTACGCAAAGCCGTACCTGTCCTGCATTAATTAATCACAAGATAAGTAGAACTCGTTTTCTTCTATAAAGTTTATATGTCATTAATACATATACTTGGTTAAAAGATACCAAACAAAAATTACCTATGCCCCATACTCTACTATACGGATTCATGATTGAATAATCTACTAAAATAAATCGAAAAACGATTTATTATATTCAAAGTTCAGAATATGAAATGCTTCTCTTTTCCATTGTGATGGAGTCCGCATTGAAATTAACTTTCAATTGGCATAAAACGCAAAGAAAAAATCTACCGTACTTCTCTGGAGATCTTAAAATCACCTTCTTCATTATACTCATCGTGATACCAACCCCAACATGTAACTACCTGAAACATAAGACTATACTGTTTTCTCTTCAACATATCTAAAACGTTTCATTTTAGTAGCACATTTGACAAAATGGCAAGAAACTGAAATTGAAAAATAAATTCAAACAATTTTAAGTTCTCGATATT